TTTTTGAAGTTCCACATTTTTCAACCAGTTTGAAAATAAAGAGGGTGATGAAGATCTGAGTGAAAATGAGATACTTTGCTTTCCAAGTGGTGATATAAACTGGGATTCCTTTCAAAAAACTTATTTTCACTGAGATATATGCATCACCCTGTATATTTTTTGACAAACCTAGTTGAAAAATAGGACATCAAAAAACAGAATACCATGAATATTGAATTCATTCAACCCCGTTAACCAACGGCCCTGAAAAACTCCTCTATCGGGGGAATGAAAATTCTCAAGCGGCCAATTAATGGCAGTCTCTGAAAAGTCTCAATCGGGCCGGAGATATGCCATGAATGCGGTACATTTGAGTACTTGCTTCTGCCCACCAGAAGCCCTGCAATGTAATAAGCGGCATACTGATGGCTCTAGAGAGGCGGACGGCTGTCGGCCGCCGGGACACGGGCTAGCCGGCCCAATTTAGTTGTACAATAGAGGACCGCTGTTACCGCTCGCCGGCAAGTTTCATTGTACCTTTAGAGGGCCGCAAAAATCATGTTTGCTGGGTAGTTACCAGAAATTATCAATCATGATGGAAATTTTCATTACTATTTAAAATTGCAATCACTGCTTCAAAATATGTACTTTATTACAACACAATTAGACAACACTCACCGCAGTGCTCTCCAGCACAACAAATACTAAAGCCTTTTCTGTTGAAAAACTTTCCTGTCAGGCTTCTGTCAAAAACGGGGCTATACTTCACATCCACATCCACATGGACCTAAATGTACAGTCTCCACTCAACCAAACATACCAGCTCAACAATCTAAGGAAATTTGAAAAAGCTCAAGAAAAATTTGAAAAAGATTCAAGACAAAATTTTACTTATTTTGAACAAGAATTTTCGGGCCCCACGTTGGGCGCCATTTATGTGGCCAACTTTTAATATAAAAGGATGAATTTATTAAAAAGTCAAACACATTTGCTATCGGCAGCTGTACATCGGAGAACAGATAAGTGAGTTCGAATTATAGGCTAGATGGTGAAGAAAATTCAAGTTCTTGGACGCCACTCAATTTATAAAAATCTTACAATTTGGATAATTGAGAAAAAAAAATTTCTTTCCAAATAATCTGTTTTTCAAAAATCTGAAGGTTGTTCAAGGTATATTTTTTTAGAAGGCTGGGCTGGACATATGGAAGAATGAAAACCAACATAAAATTCAAGACCTATTATATTTCACACCACCAGAGACAAGGTAATATATGGACCTATGTAGAGGCCTGCAGTTTCATGATGAAAAATAATCACTTAAGTACTGTATTATTTCAATAGTGTAGGTTAAGTAAATTGCATGGTGGTTCTATCATAATTTTCCTACCTATACCAGGACAATTACCATATTTTTAGAATAAGTGAAAATAAGTATAGTAACAATCCTATATCAACTATAAAACGGACTGTATAACTAGTCAAGGAATGATAGCGCAATGAACTGTTAAGCAACCGCAGTCACATAGTATACTATGGGAGAGCTTCACAAGAGCTTCACCAGTTTGTGAATTAATACTGTAAAAAAATGTGATTACTCAACCAGTCTCAGATGTGAAAAAATGTAAATATATATCAAAAAGGTAAAACACTGAAGGTGGAACAAAAAAACCTGATAGTGGTCCAAGGGTCCTCTGCAATGGTCCAGATCACCCCTATCCAAGGTCCCAAGTGGTATGTATGTAGATGTGCAGCATAGGTCACTGCAGGTGAAGATAACACAACGAGGAATGCTGAACCTCCACGGTCAGCAGAGTTCCAGGATGCAGTGTAACCAGGGATCAGTCTCTACCAGCTGCTACTGGGCTCCATCTGGTGTCTCCATGGTCGACTCTGGCCAAGATCCGAAGACCTTGCAGGATTACTCAGATCCACTGGGGGATCTTGACAGGGGTAGAGTAGAGTATCCTGAGGGCCGGTCGCTACCAGGAGTCCGAAGCACAGCTAAGCTGCACCCTAGCACCCTAAGAAATAATCTGAATATAGCCTCCTGAGAGGGCACACAGAGCACGTGGAGACAACAGAAAAAAAACTGAAGAACAGGATATTATATTTTCGTTTCACTGCTGAATCTGCTATGGCTGTGACTTACCTTCTGGGAAAAGAGGTAGGATTGAAGAGTTATTAGAACTTGCTTCAAAGGACTGAAACAGAAACAGGCCGGGCTGCATGGCTTCTAAGACTTCATGGCAGTCTCCAGGAACAAATCCCACTGATGGCTTCCTGACGGAGATTCCATCCACTAACCGGTAAGCAACGGCTTCCAATATCAAATACCCCTAAGGGTTTCTACGGTTTTCACCAAGAAAATCAAAATTACTTTTCACAGGTCAAGTGCACGCCACCATGGCTAACCGAGAAAAAGTGAGGTAGGTACGTGCCGGAAATTCTCCTACCCTCGATTTAACTAGTCAAAAACCCTAGTTTCCTGTTAAAATCCCAAATCAGCGCCAAATATGAAATCCAAGAATCCTATTGGTCGAAGAAATGCTTACGCCCTAATTATTAAGAAGAATTGTTCTTCTTCTTCTGTCTTCATAGGAATAATCTCCAAATCCTTCACAGAAGACAAATGACAGTCCACAATGACTGCAGTATGACAACAGTGACAGTGACGTCCTGATGACACATGAAAATATAACCTGAAATATTATCCCAAAAATAAACAAAGAAATTTATCCAAATTGAAACCAATTCAGAATGAACAACATCATAAATCCTGAGATATTCCAGCGAAATAGGATTTATCGCCCTGGAGAACATCAACGGTAAGTTGTCTGTCTACTTTTGAATGGATTACAATATTAAATATTTTCTTCGATTCTAGGGCCTTAGGATCAGAACGCCAGAAATCAAAGACTCCTGCAGCTTACATCATCACTTCCTATTAGCACATAGAATATCAGAAGAAATGAGTACTCTACTATTGGAATTTGTTTGTTAAAAGATCTCATTCAAAACTGTGTGTGATATGATATGGTTGTTTAATTAAATGTTCTATTACTCAAGGATTATTTACTATGTCAGACTGAATGTTCACTGTGAGTATGGTTTCTTCTCAAATTTATAAGGTAAGAATTTGAAGACTATGTTTATTACACCAAAGAAAAATAAAAACAAATCTCAGCACACCACAGTGCTACTCTACTGTAATTTGATAAGTTTCATCAAAATAATTAGCTAATATTATCTTGTAGCAAATTCAAATGCTACAACATAATTACAAAACTCGCTCGCAATATTGGATCTACCATCTTGAATTCCCTAAAATTGACGGAGGAATCATGATTCTTGATCACGAAAACGCCCACTTACAAATTTTGAATAGAATCGGTATATAATTACAAAACTCGTCCGGTATATTGGTTCCACCGTCTTGAATTCCAAATCCCGCCCTTTCCAAATTTTGACAAAAGAATCATAATCTCCGACCCCGAAAACACCCAGATAACAATTTTGAAGACAGTCGGATGATAATTACAATACTCGTTCGCCATATTGGGCCCGCTATCTTGAATTTTGAGGAAGGAATCATAATCCCCGATCACGGATCACGAAAACTCCTACGTACCAATTTTGAAAAGAATCGGATAATAATAATAACCAAAAACTCGTCCGCCATCGCATATTGGTTCCTTCTTCTTGAATTCTCAAATTCCGCCCGAATTGTCAAATTCTGACAAAAGGATCATAATCTCCGACCCCGACAACCCCCATCAGATACCAATTTCGAATAGAATCTGACCATATAATTACAGAACTCGTCCGATATATATTAGATCCGCCATCTTGAATTTCCTAATGGTACCGGGATAAAAAGTATCATATTATCATAACCTTATTCTAGTTTTGACCTACTTCCCCACCAATTTTCAGCCAAATCGATCCAGTAGTTTCGAAGCCTATTATCAATACATACGAACAAACAAACAATAGTAGAGATTGTTTTATTACGATCAAAAATGACACTTTGTTTGACAAGCCAATTTTGCATTCGCGAGGCGGAGCGTTCAGCGAAAGCAAAATTTGCGAGTCAAACAAAGTCACTTTTGATCAGAATGAAAAATATGCTATTTTTTCCGCAACCGAAACAATTAACTCGAATAAATATGTAAAGTAACCACCAATGCCGTGTGGTGAAAATATTCTACCTGCATCAACAGCAAGTTTATTCAATACAATTATATACACGCTAGTGTGAATACAACAGGTTAAGTGCCACATATGAGGCCAACGCGGGATCACACAAAAAAATGTCATATAGGCCGTGTGAAGCCGACCTTGACTCACATGTTCGTCCGTCATAAAATATTGTGTAGCTCCACATTGCCTTCTCGCATCCATTTAAAATACACGGGAGCGTTTTCTGCTCGGCCAGATGGTCTAGAAACCGTACTTGGCCTGTAGTGCTCCTGAGAGTCCAAGCTGGACTCAAATGGAATCCCGTGATAAAAGTTTTGCTGGTGGCCGTGAAACTCCAACCTGGACTCACGTTAAAAAAACACATTTTTGGTTACAAAAAATCGTACATGGAGATGAAAAACATTGATGAAGAGTTAAAGAAAAATATAGAAAGGCAATTTGATGAAAAAAAGATTCTGGCCAATGGGGACGTTGAATTTTTTAACATTGCGGCACTTAACCTGTTAAAGAGTCTAAGGTGTATATTTATATCTCTAGCATGACTATATGAAATGCCTAATCTGTCGAAATTGAAAACAAATCAGGTATGCGTCCCAACCCAAATAACCAACCATAACAATGTTTTTTATTCTTGATGACCTTTAGTACATCCTTTTTGTTCCTAGGAACTAAATGTGTTGCCTATAGCAACATACCTATTTTTGTGTCAGTAATATAAACGTCAATACAAGAGCTAATAATTTTTGTATCAAAATGGACGACTTTTGTGTCGGTTGCAGAAAAACAATCAAATCTTTCCTCTTTATAATATTACGATAGATTACTTACTAAAAACGAATGACTTAAAACTTAAAACTGCTCCATAAATCCACCGTGAATCAAAATAGAATACATAATTTATATTTCAAATATTTGTTGTCTTTCCATAATAACTGATTATCCGTTCTGCTTCCCTGAAACCTGTTTCGACTGCTCCGTGCACGTTGGAATAGTGATGCGGATGAGTACCCTCGCCGGCAAACTGGAGGATCAGTCTACCCTGAGCCGATCTGATGGGATCCGCTAAATCTTCCTGAGCACTAGTTGCTTTTTTGCCCTTCTTGGCTGCAGGCGTCTGGTAGGAGTATGTGCATCTGAAATGGGGGTTACTTTGCCAGTCGGAACTGAAACAATAAAGATATCACCTGGACAAAACCATTTCCTCATTTCACTTTATCGAATGTAAAACATCTTGTATATCATATGCCGGACAACCAGATGACGTTTCAGTGACGTTTTTTTACGTCAGTTAAATGACCAAGGTGACGTCAGTAGTTGACGTTCGCATGACGTGATAAATTACGTCATATTATTCACGTCGTATTGACGTCATTCACTCACCAAACTGTGACGTCCGACTGACGTCTTAATGACGTCAAAATGTCGTTCAAATTTGGTGATGATACGTGAAAAATATTTCTTCAACATGGTCCCAGACAGCACTGGATATTCCTAGAATATTCTCTAAATATGCTGAAAAGAAGGAGTATATTCCGAATATTCATCGATTATTCATAGAATATATACATGCCTCTGGAACACATAAAAGGAATATTCCAAAGTGAATAGTCTGATATGTTCAGGGAATAATCAGGTATGAATTTTCCAGGAATATTCCCAACTGAATATTCTCTGTTGTATATTCATGAAATATTCCCAACTGAATGTTCTGTGGGGTATATTCATGAAATATTCTCAACTGAATATTCTGTGCGGTATATTCATGAAATATTCTCAACTGAATATTCTGTGGTGTATATTCATGGAATATTCCATGAATATTCCTATGTTTCTCAACACATAAATACCAATCATCATTTCAGAGATGTGAGCATCAAACATCAATTAGATGTAAGGGGATTTTGAAAAAAAAAGTGTTTATGATCCGATTTCGAACAACGCTCTCATAAGAAATTGATATGTACAACATTATTCAATTCGATTACTGGCCTAGTGGTCAAGGCGTTGCTCTGATACCCTCGCGACAATACTCTATGGAAAATGACAAAAAGGTTAAACAAGAAATTCACACCCATACCTACCCTGGTGTATGGGCGCGAGGAAGCGGTGTCAGATCTGGAGAAGGCGATAGTGCTTGGGAGACACTTTCAAAAAATCTCTAAAATTGACAAGAGGCCAATAGGTGCGGTCCAGGAGGACATGGTGGCAATAGCAGAGCAGATAAGATCATCGCCGGACATCCTGCTCCCGCGACAAGCCCTGGGGAAAAGCATTACATCCCCAAAAGAAATAAATGAAATCATTAGTTATATGAATATCAACAAAGCCCCAGGGCCTGATGGACTTGACGTGGTTCTCTTAAAAAACATGTCGCGCAAAGCAATTGTACAACTATATTACATTATAAACGCTATCATCAAATGCCAGCACTACCCAGAATGCCTCAAGATTGGGCTTGTGGTACCTATCCCAAAAGTCCACCAATGGCTACCGCCCCATATCACTGCTTAGCGCCGTGGCCAAGGTCGTGGATAGAGTCCTCTTACGACTCATCACATACCACACTAATGAGCTGGACCTCATACCAAAGGAACAGTTCGGGTTCCGCAAGGGGCACAGCACAGTGTCCCAAGTGGCCCGAATTGTTCACGAGGTTAAAGAGGCCAGCAACAACAACAAGAACACCGTCATGGTCATGATGGACGTAGAGAAGGCATTCGACACCGTCTGGCACGAGGGTCTAATGTCCAAACTGCATAAGGCTAGAATGCCGATTTTTATCATTAAGATTATCGATGCATATATCAGCAACAGGAAAATCCGGGTCAAGGTCAACGAAAGTATATCGGGAGATTTTCCACTCGAGGCAGGTGTTCCGCAGGGGTCGTGCCTCTCACCTCTGTTATATACCCTATACACGCATGATTTCCCTGTATTCGAGCGGACGAGTACAGCATTGTATGCCGACGATACGGCAATATATGCTCACTCGGACGACTCGAATATCGCAAGGGCACAGATCCAGATTCATCTGGACAGGGGAATCATACCGTACTTTGACGAGTCAAAGATCTGCATAAACAGCGCAAAGACTGAGGTCATCAATTTCCACAAAAAAGTCAACAACTCCCGACTGAGCAGACCTTTGACCGTTAAAGGGGTTGAGGTGGCAGACACGACCACCGTGAAATACCTGGGAGTCAAATTGGACACCCGTATGAGTCTGAGAAAGAATACGAACTACCTCATCCAGAAAACCCAAAATGCCATCAAAAAGATGTACCCCTTGATATCCAGGACCTCAGCTCTCTCGCAGGAGAATAAGGTCCTGGTATACAAGCAGGTCATCAGGCCAGTGATGACATATGCGTGTCCAGTGTTCTGCAGCATCTCACCTACTCATATGAATAGGTTACAGGTGCTGCAGAATAAAGTACTCCGTATTATCACCAATGGTGATAGATACTCTCGAGTGGCAGATCTCCACGAGAGATGTGGTAATTTGCCGAGAATCGACGAATACATCTTGAAAATCTCTAATCGATTTTACAAATACCACATCGCTGGAAGTGACCTTACCCGGAATATGACAACAGTCAGACAACACCATAACATCCATAAAAAACACGGACTGATATAATATGCATCAACCGATGTTTTTAGAGAGCCTGATAATCTATAGTCGGGAACCTCCCCGGGTGCTCGGACATGTCCGAGCCACCGAGGAGACTCTAGACAGCACTATCTCCCAAGCACGAAAATAACATAGTGTCGTAAAAGACACTGAACTCGGTCAGAAGTGCCCATGTGGAAACGCATGCGCACAACTGCCCGAGACAAACAAGAAGGAGGTTTTTTATTTTATTTTAATTTTATTTTTCCTCCAACGACTCAGCAACCCTTTCCACACTGATCGCGCACGAGCAGCTCCCCCACCCTATGGGTACCACCAGCGAGATTACCTGTATAAAGGGCCTAGCCCAAGGAGATAGGTCACTGCGACGAACACCTCACATATCCTCTCATATTCCTTGGCTAACACCAGCCACCTCTGCGACTGCGGAGGGACGTTCAGTCATACTCACAGATATGTCAAGCCCATTATACACAAATATGTTGATGTAATATGTGTTGTATTGTAAAAACTGTGCCAGCGAACAAATGAATTTAAATTTTTTTTTTGCTCTGATAGTCTTGAGGTCACGAGTTCGATCCCTACTTGGGTCACTTTTTTTATTCCAGAATATGTTTATTGGAATATTCCAGGAACATTCAACATATAATATTCTTTTGGATATATTCTATAAATATCTGAGGAATTCCCATTCGCATATTCAGAGAATATTCCACAGATATTCCGGAATGTTCCATATCATTCCTAGAATATTCCAATATTCCAAAAGGAATATGATAGGGAGATTCATGAAATTTCTGGTGCTGTCTGGGGTGTGATAAACACCACTGGCCTCTGATGACATAATATATAATAATAATTATGCATTGTTGAGTCTGCTTGATGGGTCCCTCCCGTGTCATGTCCATTCAATCGCCTATTCAGCAGCGCTAGCCTTTAGTACGCATCTCCATCAGAATGTAATCAGTTACTCGTATTTGTCGGCGAGATGTAAGCAAACCAAGAGTAGTTCGATAGCAATGGAAAGGATGTTGGCGAAAGTTTCCTCCTACTTTTCGGGTATATTAATTATTTCAATAAAACTTGCATGTTGATTTGCTTTCATGAGTTACCTCTCTTTCACATGATGATAACATATAAGTATCCATGGTTTAGAGAAGGGCTGGGCAAAATGGACGTCGACAGGACGTCCCTGCAACGTCATTTATTTCTTTATCACGTCATAGGGAGTACGTCATAGTGACGTAATAAATTGGCGTGTGACGTCTCTGACGAAAAATCACCAATTAGGGACGTCACAGTGACGTGATCATTCGTCATCTGGTTGCCTGGGATGTTTCCTTGAATGAGTCTATACAATTTGATCAAATGACAATATACACATCACATTTCTCGGAATTCATGATTCTCGTATAGATTACTCACTGTATTAGTTTATCCGGTAGAGTGACATTGTATATGTGACCCATAAATTCCTCATGAACGTAAGTTATTCCTCTAGCTAGGGTATCGTTTGACAATAGTTCTATTTCGGGTACTAATTTGCCAGTGAACCAAGCTACCAAAACTTTGGGATTGTTTTCCACTGCTAGAGAATAGTGCATATAAGTTACCCATGATCTTCCATTCTGCAACACAAAATAACAAATGACAATTTACGGGGTGATTCGAATAAAAAAAAGAAATGATTCAATTTTTCATTAAAAATTTCACACCTAACATTTTCGACCAATTGGGAACCTGTATCGTTACCAAAGCAACTAAACACATTTTTGGACATTTATTCCTCCTGCTTGGGGGAAGTAGCATAACATTACACTGGACATTTCTTGACGTTTATAGATAATATGACATTGGCATCTAACTTCAGATTATTTCGAATTAATTCTTATAAGTGTAAAATTTCCTTGCAAATAGTTAATTATATTTTATCTAACCGAATAATATATTACCTGAGCAAATTCCATTGATACTAAATAGTACTTCGAGTTTCGTGTCTCGTTCTACGTTCGTCTACCAACTAGCGAAAGTAATTTGTAAAAATCTGAGAAATTAAGTTACTATCGACTTATTTTTCATTATTTTGTGTAACTAAAGTAGGTCAATTGAGTTTTATTTACCATAACATTAACAGAAACTCAAGTGAACTCGTCCACCAACAAGGTCCACATGCTCAGGATCAAAGGTGGAGTCTGCCTCTACGCTAAGGCTAACGTTTCATGCCAGCGTGTAGAGAGTTTGGAACCGAAAGACTTTGATGTGATGTGGTTCAAGCTAGTCGATACCAAACTGACTAAATTCATCTGCTGCCTTTACCTATCGCCTAATGATAATGAATATAACGACCTCTTTGAGTTTTTATCACTCAAACTGGACATTCAGGAGAACCATCCAACAGCTGAAATCATTATCATGGGATACTTCAATGTACATAACGCAACCTGGCTCAAATTCTCTAACAAAACAGATGATGCAGGTCGTCAAACTGAGGCCTTCGCCATCACTCATGGTCTTGAACAACTAATCGAACTACCAACCCGCATTCCAGTCTGCCAATACACTAGATATTTTTCTCACCAGCAATCCTGATCCATATACAAGTCGTATATACGTCCTCTACTAGAGTATGGTGTTCAAATATGGTCCCCACACCTAGTGAAAGACATCCAACTTTTAGAGAGAACTCAACGTCTTGCCACCCGAATCGTACCCTCTCACTCAGGCACTTATCTTACGAAGATAGATTAACCCGATTGAAGATTCAATTTCTCAAAGAAAGACGAGCCAGAGGAGATGCTATTCTGACATACCGCATACTGCACGATACATTCTCCACTGACATGCAGCATATTTTCGAGCTGAACACTGACCCCAGGTTGAGAGGCCATAGCATGAAGCTCAAACGCGAAAACTTCAAGTCCACCGTTAGGCAAAAGTTTTTCGCCAACAGAGTATTCGGGCTATGGAATTTACTCCCAGAGGCCGTTGTGACAGCTCCAAGCATAAACAGTTTCAAAAATGGTTTCGACGCGTTCCAGTGTTCCAGCTTCTGACTGTACCAACTGTGCTGATGTTCCTCATTGTCTATATTAACAATTTCGATTCTTATGTTTATAAGATACCACTCACTTGTATTGTTAGGTTAATTTTGTATACTCAAGGGCATAATAGGCTTTGCCTCTGCCCTTATTGTCAGTTAATAATAATAATAATAATAATAATAATAATAGTAATAATAATAATAATAATAATAATAATAATAATAATAATAATAATAATAATAATAATAATAACGTAAGAGTCCCTTCTCGGCAGGAAGATGGTGTGGAGGAACAACACGCTCCACCCATCCTGCTCGACAACGAGAGAGGGGACCGTGTGCTTCCTGAGGTGAACGAAATCAGGAACCGCAGGAGCCTACTCAACATTAAGGCCCTGCGGACCCGAGACCTTGCAAGGATGGATGAATCGCTTCAAGAAACACTTCCGGAAGGGGCTGACATCTGGCACATCAATTGTGCCGTGTATGACGTGGTTCGGTCCTCTCTGCCAGAGAGACCTATACAAACGGTCTCACCGATTGAGAGGGCCGATCGGCGAGTACGAAAGATGGAAGCCAAGATCCAGTCGGCGAGACAACACACTTCCCGTATCCAGTGTGTGATGGATTATGTGAGTGCCAACAGGCCATTCACATCGAAGGTGCGACGGATGGCCACTAAATTACGTCGCACCCATCACACACTAAATGAGGCAGTGCTATCCACCATCAAACAGCACTGCCTCGAAAGGATACGGCTGTTAGTGGCTGCAAAACAGTCACTAAAGAGGCGAGCGAGAGGGCTGGCGGAAAATAAACAATTTGGCGAAAAGCCCTCTCGCTTATTCCAACCGCCTCCAAGTGTGGTTGACAATCCGCCGACTGCTGATCAGGTGGAAACCTTCTGGAAGAGTATTTACGAGGTGAGGCATCCATTCAACAGAGATACTCCAGCCCTGGCGCAGTTCGGTACCTTCTGCGGAAGATACCGAGAGCCTGAGCCCGAATTACTGCGCCAACCGATAACCACTGAGGAGGTTCGAGAAGCCCTCAAAGGCTCCAAGAACTTCGCTGCTCCTGGTCCCGATGGGATCAATAACTTCTGGTGGAAAAAGTTTCCCTCTACCCACCACCATTTAGCCAGGATATTCAATAGCTGGCTGAATGGGGAGCAGCAAATCCCTGAGTGGTTTATCGAGGGGCGAACCGTGCTTCTCCCTAAGACTGGAGATTTGTCCAATCCGAAGAATTACAGACCAATTACCTGCCTGAATGCATGTTACAAGTTGTTCACACGCATCTTGTACATGCGAGTACTCCTAGTAGTTGATTCGGTTTACCAACGGATTTTTGAGCAGCGTGGGTCGAAGAGAGGTGTCGCTGGCTGCAAGGAGAACCTGTTGATAGATAGATCTATTACACAGGACTCTGTGCAGTACAAGCGGAATCTTTCTGTGGCCTGGATCGATTACCGAAAAGCATTTGACACAACGTCACATGAGTTACTCGTGTACTTGCTCGAATGTCTTTCGGTACCCGATTCTATAGTGAGATGCATAGAACAACTGATGCTGGTCTGGAAGACCCGCTTTACTATAACATCAGGTAATGCGAGAGTTCAAACAGAGCCAGTTATCATAAGGAGGGGAGTATTTCAAGGAGACTCCCTTAGCCCTCTCCTATTCTGCATCTCACTTCTGCCACTATCCGTTGAGCTCCGCAAAACCAGAGGATACAACTGCGGCCCACCCAGTTACCGGAGGCATAAAGTCACCCACTTATTCTATGTGGATGACATCAAACTTCATGCCTCTGGTGAGAGGGATATGGACCAATCCCTCAGGGTGGTGCAGGAGTACACGCAGGCAATTGGAATGGAATTCGGGATGGACAAATGTGCACTGGTTTATCTCAAGAGAGGACGATGCGAGAACTACGACAAGGACGCGCAGCTCGTGGACGGAAGCATCCTACACCACCTGGATGCCGGAGAGACGTACACCTACCTGGGTGTAGAGGAAACTCACATCCAGGAGGCACAACGGGTAAAAGACGCTCTCCGCAGCAAGTATCGACAGCGGCTCCGACAGATCTGGTCGTCAGAACTGTCGGGGAAGAACAAAGTCGCTGCGACTAACATGCTTGCTGTTCCGATCCTACTTTACTCATTTGGAGTGATAAAGTGGACTCAAGTCGAGCTGCGACAACTTGACGTAAGTACTCGCAAGATGATGCATCTCCATAGGAGTCTGCATCCAAATTCTTCCGTTCCACGGTTATACATACCTAGAGACCAGGTTGGCCGTGGACTCTTGAGCTTGGAGTATCTCCATAACAGAATGGTTCTGGATGGCGCCTGCAAAGTCATCAGGAGTTCGGATCCCCTTCTGCAAATGGTTAAAACCCATGAAGAGGCAGGAGTAGGAGCTTTTCTTTTCAGGGCAGCACGTCGAGTAGCCGATGAATTGTCTCTGATTTTCGACTCCGAGCGCGAGGCTCAGGACTCAGTTACTGAGCTAGAACCCGCTCGGAGAAAAGCCCGCATCAAAGCTGCAGAAGTGAAAAAGCTCCTGCAGCTTCACATGGATAAGCCCATGCATTCGGTCTACTTCAAGACCATTGAAGACCGGGGCTTATCCAAAGAACTGACTTTTGCTTTTCTGAAGTCAGGCGGGCTCAAATCGGTAACAGAGGGGTTCATCATGGCATGCCAGGATGGGGTTTTTAACACTCTTGTCTACCGTAGCCAAGTCATGGGTATGGAGGTCCCTGACACAAGTTGCAGGGCCTGCCGCAGGGCGCCCGAGACAATTATGCACCTGCTGTCGTCTTGCACGGTGTATGCAGTCTCGGCCTATATCCATAGACACAATGCGGCATTGCGAGTGCTCTACTACTATTTGAGGCACTCGTACGGCATAGACGAGACCCCAGTGCTGCCCTATGCTCCGGGGGATATTGAGTCCGTTGTGGAGAATGAGAGGTGCCGAATTTATTGGAACTTTTCATTCCCCACCCTCAGGCAGATACAAGCTAACAAGCCTGATGTAGTCCTCCTCGACCATCAAACCAAAGCGATGTTCGTGATCGAGTTTTCGGCGCCAGCCGAACCGAACATCGTTTTGAAGGAGGAGGAAAAACGGACTAGATATCGAGATCTTTCCTTCGAACTCCGCCGGCTCTATCCAGACCATTCTGTGGAATTGGTCATCCTGATAATCGGCTCCCTAGGAGGCACACGACACACGCTGCTCTCGGAGATCCAGAAAATCCCAGCGTGCCGTGATAAGGCACACATCCTGGCTGGTGGAATGCAGAAGGCCGTCATACTAGGATCATTGCGTCTACTCAGGGCACACGGTACTTGGTCCCAGTGATTACTCACCTCACAGGCTGTGAGGAGTAGTCACTGGATTTTATCCAGCACGACTCTGCGTGACGTCGGAGGCCGCAGGGTCGTGACTGGAATCATATGAACTCAAATAATAATAATAATAATGATAATAATAATGATAATAATAATAATGCCCTATGCTCCGGGGGATATTGAGTCCGTTGTGGAGAATGAGAGGTGCCGAATTTATTGGA